CAGGGCTGAGGCCTGCCCAAGGCCATGGCAGGCGTCCCGAGTGTGGGGCTGCAGCGGTGGCAGCGCTGTGCGGAACGCTGGGGCTCGGCGTGGCCGTGGGGACATGGCTCTGCCAGGGCCCTGCCAGTTGTCACCTCCAGCCTTCCTCGCCTGTGATGGGAGGAGGGTGTCCACACCAACACGGTGACAGAGAACGTGCCTTGGCTGGTGAAGCGAAGTGACAGGGCCTGCTAGACACCCTGCTGAGCCCACCACCCGCAGGGTCTCACGGGGAGGTGTCCCTGCTGTCCCCACGGTGCCAGCTGGCGCCAGGGCCAGGCCAGCCCCCAGGCTCACCCCGTGACGGCGCGGTGCATTGCCCCTGGAAAATGCCAGCGCGGTCAAATCGTTGAGTCATTTGTGCCCAAGATTATCTGTGCAAACAGCCACCCCGAATATTTTTTTTTTTTTATTATCAAATTTTTTTTTTTCTTTTTCCCTAAGAATGTGGCTCAGACCATGGGGATGAGCAGCTGAAATCTCCAGGGATCAGCAGGACAATGCCAGAGCAAGCATTGTGCTGACGGCTCTGCAAACGCTGGCACCGGTTCCCGGCCAGCAGTACCCTATAAAAGCTGAGCCGCTGAAGTAGGCAAACATTACATGGGCGAAGCAGCAGTAACCGCCTGAGCTAGGTGAGTCCTGGACCGATGCGCACCTCTCCCACCTCACCCATCCTCTGCCAGCCGGCTGGGCAGACACCCTTCCTCCTGCCTGGTGGCAAAAGACACCCAGAGGGACTGTCGCTGTTTCCCATGGCATAAGACAGGCTCACAAGGCCCCGCTGGAAGGCAGGAGGGCTGAGAGCCCCTCTATAGGAGGGCACCCCACTCCCGGCAGCCAGCGGCACAGCACGCCGGTTGGCATCTCCCACTATTAGCTAGGGCTGTCCATGGGAGCCCACCGTGCTTCCCAAGGGACAGCGGGCAGGGAGAGGGGATTGGGTGGGTCTGATGGACACTGCCAGGCACAGGGCAGCCTGTGCCCAGGAAAGCCCCCTGCTCTGGCTCAGGGGTGTTTTTCCCAGCAGTGGGCTGGCCTCGGGGAAGGAGAAAAGGGGATTCGGCACTGTGCCCTTGTGGGCACACAGCCTCCGTGCCGTGACAGGGAGGAGGGAAGGGGCACTGCAGCGGTGAGACGGGAGCACCCTGCTTTGGATGTGTCCCACAGCCCCCTACTGTGCCCCCTTCCCCATCCTGGGGCTGCCAGGAGGGTCTCACTGTGACTGGTGTGGCTTGTCCCCAGCAGTGGGGCAGCTGTCCTCAAACAGGTGCTGTGGGTGGTGGGCACAGAGCCATCCCCCAACCTTGTGGGCAGGCAGCAGGGATGTACAGGGACATGCTGCAGTAAAAATGGCTTTTCCTTCCTTGTCCAGACACCGATCCAGTAGCAAAGATGGCTCAGACAAACCCTCTGCCTGTTCCCATGGGCCCGTGGAAGGTACGTCCTCGCATCCCCTATATTTCACCTTTCCCTGTGTGCAGGTAGGGAACAGGGAGAAGGGCAAAGCCCATCCTCCAGGGCCAGAGGAGCTGCACAGAGGGCAGCAAGGCAGGGACGAGCACAGGAAACAGGCACCCCAGTCCTCTGCCCATGGGAATGTGCCTCCTGCCTGCTGCAGTACCTCCAGGGTGTTTTTCAGACTGCTCTTCACACACCCCGAGCCAGCTGTGCACTGCTCTTAGCAGCCATTCCGTGAAAGGCAGTTACAGAGTCCCCCAAAAGCCACCGGCTGTTGTTGACCCTCTCCTGTCCATGCCGACAGGCTGGGCAAGGGCAGTGGGCACTGTGGAACAAGGCAGGGAGCAGCCCCAAGGGCTCCGGTGATAGCCCCAGGGCCACAGGTCGAGGAGGGAGCCGAGAGGGAGAGGAGAAACACGTGCACAAGTCAGGAGCATCCCGTCGAAGCCTGGAGCTGTCACGGGAGAGGAGAACTCAGCCGCAGCCCCCCGGGGAGGTGCCCCTCGCCCTTTCCCCCGTTAATCCTCTTTGCCCTAGAGCGTTCGGAGCAGAGGCCGGGAGAACCGCCAGCCACAGCCCTGCCACCCGCCCGTCCCAGAACGGCTCCGCTCCTCTCTCCGGACGGCACCGCTGCCCCGGGAGCTGCTGTCCGCAGGGGTGAGCAGGAGAGCGGAGCGGGGGCCAGCCTGCGGCTCCCTCAGCACCAAGGCAGGGCGTGGCGGTGTGCGGGGCTGTGTCCCAGCCCAGAGGGGTGCCCGGGGCAGCCTCTGCTGGCTCCCTCCCTGACGGAGCCACCCTCCGTCCCCAAGAGGAGCTGAATTGCCCGGGGCCGCTGCTGGGCAGTTTCCAACTCGGCAGCTCGCTCTCCGTTCCAGATCACCGTGTACGACCAAGAAAACTTCCAGGGCAAGAGGATGGAGTTCACTTCGGCCTGTCCAAACATCATGGAATGTGGCTTCGACAATATCCGCTCCCTGAAGGTGGAATGTGGCGCGTGAGTAGCCGGCTGCCTGTGGAGGGGGCGCTTCCCAGGCGGGCTGGCTGACAGAGGGGTCCCCAAAGCTGGAGTGGCACCAGCTGTCCCCGCTCTGCTTGGCTGGAGCCAAGCAGCACAGCTAAGGGAAGCCAGGCGTGGGGGGATCCCATCCTGCCAGGGCAGCACTGATACAGAGAGAGGGCCAGAGGACAGCGGCAGCACCTGTGGCGTTATCCAAAACCGCTTCCCGCGGTGTTGGACCAGTCAGATTTGGAGAAGGGTTGCCACCCAAGGATGCAGAGAGGGTCAGTGCTCAGTGAGTGGCCTGGCTTAGCCTGGTCCCATCCTGCACCAGCCCTAGAGAGCCACCTCTTGCCCAGGGCCAGCCCTGCTCTGCCCTGGGCTTTCCCTGCACTGCACAGCTTCCCAGACCAGGGCAGAACCTTCCCGCAGCTTCTGCAGTCCTGAGAGGGGTAGGGAGCGAAGCTGGGCTTCTCCCTGCGCTCGGGAATCTTCCGTGGCACAGGGAAGGCACCTCCCGAGCAGGAGGAGTGTCGGGAGCGGTCCCCGCCGTGCGCATCCCGCCGGGGATTTGTGCTGCTATCTTTAGGATGTGTAATGCTAATGGGATTACAGCAGCGTGCGTGCTCACGCTGTAATCAGCTCCCTGCTCCCGCTGACGTGCTCCTAATCAGGCTGTTCACCTTGCACAGGGCGGGTTGGCTGCAGGACATGGCATTGGGGCTCAGTTTGGGTCAGTGGCAGGAAACCCTCGACCCCCTCAGCATCCTTTGTACCCCATCAGCAGGGGATCCATGCACTGCACAGCCCGTGCCCACCACCTTCCAACCCCAGCCCAGGCTCTGTCTCCCTGCTCTGCCTGTGGCTCTGTCCCCAGCCTTCTTAAGGGGACATCCCCACCCTGGGGACAGGCAGGTGCTGTGTGGGCAGCACCAGGGCTTGCAAAAAGTGTCCTGCATGTTAGAGGCATCCCACTCCCCTCTCCTTGCTTGTTTTCAGCAAAGAGGGGAAGGCAGAAGGGGGAAAGGCCATAGATCCCTGCTCTCTGCTCAGAGCCAGATGGGCTCTGCCAGCTTTGGGCATCAGGAATCCAGGTCTTTCCAGAAGGGTCAGGTTGTAATTGGGAAACAAGTAAGAAATTAGCCTTTGGGAGAGAAGGGCAGTTCATCCTGAACTGATGCTGTTCTGCATAGATAATGACAGAGCAGCCACAGAGACGAGCCACCTGTGCAGGATGGGCCCCAGGATCTCCTCATTTCCCACTGCAGCCAGGGGGACCGTGTGGGTGCTTCCCCAGCACCAGATGCAGTTTCACACTCCCTGGTTCTCTGCCCACATCCAGCACCACTTCCTCTCCTCCCAACCTGTGGGCTGAGGCCAGACCCCAACCTCCTCCTCGCACCTACATCCTGCCCCTATGCCAGCTCCCAGCAGGATGCCCTGAGCTGCTGCAGGAAGCCCTGGCAGCCCTCGCTCTGTTTTTGCAGCTGGGTGGGTTATGAGCACACCGGCTTCTGCGGGCAGCAGTTCATCCTGGAGAGGGGAGAGTACCCACGCTGGGACGCCTGGAGCGGCAGCAACGCCTACCACATCGAGCGCCTGATGTCCTTCCGCCCCGTCTGCTCCGCTGTGAGTGTCCCACAGAGCTCCGAGCCCGTTAAAATGTGCCAGGCCACGGCAGTGAGGTTAGGAAGGGAAAACACAGCTACACCAGGGGCAGGCTCAGTGCTTCCCCCCAAAACCCCAGCAGGACTTGCTCTTTCTGTCCTGTTTTTTAAAGCTTTTGAGGGAATTACTGGGCAAGCTGTACATGACCAGAGCTAGGGGACAGCCAGCCTGACACAGTAGCTGTGGCATAGCTGGCACTTCCCAGCCACTCAGAAAACTCCAAAGATCCAGGGTCTGAACAGTTCCCTCTGCAGGAACCCTCTGAGCAATGAGTAGGGAGTGACAGCCCTGCCGTTCCCACCCACGCTGGGGAGGGACCCACGACCTCCCCCTCATCCCCTGCTCTCCCCCCCAGAACCACAAGGAATCCAAGATCACCGTTTTCGAGAAGGACAACTTCATCGGCCGCCAGTGGGAGATTGCTGACGACTACCCCTCGCTGCAGGCCATGGGCTGGGCCAACAACGAAGTGGGCTCCATGAAGATCCAGTGTGGAGCGTAAGTGACAGGCCAAGGACCAGGAGCAGCAGGGACAATCCTCTGCCATTACTGTGCCACCACGGTGGGAGGGGGACACCCTGTAACCCCCCCCAGCTTACCTCTTTGTCCTTTTCTTCCAGCTGGGTGTGCTACCAGTATCCCGGCTACCGTGGCTACCAGTACGTCCTGGAATTTGACCACCACGGTGGAGACTACAAGCACTGGAGAGAGTGGGGTTCGCACGCCCAGACCTCCCAGATCCAATCTATCAGGCGTGTCCAGCAGTAGCTCCTCACTTCCCAGTCCATCTCTGCAAGGTTTCGAAAGCTCACCAGCTCCCTCTTGGTGCTAATACTCCCCTCCCGAAATAACCATCCCCTCTCGTTCTGCCACTGCTTATGGAACAACACTCCCAAAACGGTACCGACTGCCACAATTGCCAATAAATGTGACTGAAAGAAAAAGATAAACCAGCTTGGTGTGTGTTTGCTGTTGTGTGTTTGGGACTGAGGTTGCAGGGAGCAGGGAGCAGACTCTCTCCTACTTATTTTAAGCTGGGCTGAAGTGCGGTGGGGCTCACACTGAGGGAGGTTCAGACCCCCATAGTTGCACCCTTGGAAACCCTTGGATTTTTCCCTCCCTGCCCTCTCCTTCCCCTGACAAAGTAAAGGACACCTGGATTCCACCCCACCCGTGTACACACAGCTCATGGGCTCAGGCCTCTGGGATCTACACCCAGGCTGCTCCCTGAAAACGCAAAAAAGAAAGTCACACTGACACCCACAAACTTTAAAATTTTTATTCAACAATTTACATCACTTATTGTCTGTCTTAACGTATTCGATCTACACAAATTTCTTTTTTTTTCCTGATAAAATAATAAAATTTGGATAAATTTTGAAGACCTGTCGGTGCAGAATAAACAAAATTTCAGCTAAGTTTTTTTTTTTGTTTGTTTTTTTTCTTTTTTCTTAAACATTTAGTGTGAAGTATGACATCATTGGTAAAGATACATCATGCCATTACAGCTCATGGACATTACCTATCCTTACAGTCCGTGACATCACCCACACCAGCGCAAGGGGCTGCGCCAGACACAGCTACAGCAGGTTTTACACTAAACTCCTCTAGCCACCCTCTCACCACTGGGAAAACGCCTACGCTTTTCCAGCTGGGCACACAGAGTGCATTAACCTAATCAGAAATTACTGGGGAGGGGAGAAGGAAACAAAGACTACCTTTACTGATCGGTGTGGTCGCACACTACAACATCGACACCAAAGAGGGGCTGCCCCTCTCAGCAGGTCAGAGGTAATTCAGCTCCTGAGAAGGTAGAGCACAACCCCTCACAGCAATTTGAATACAAACCAGGAACGAAATGAGAACTTATCGACAGGGAAGGGGGGCAGGAGAGGAGACTGACCCCGCCCGGCTCTGCCTGCAGGGATCTCTCCAGCCCCAGCTCGCAGTCGAAGCATGCGGTTGTGTTTTGCACCGCCCTTAACACTGAAATATTCAGGGAAGGGGGAGAGAGGGGCATCAGTCCCCCCAGTAAACAAGTTGAGGACCTCCAGAGGCTGAGAAGCTGCTGAAGGTGTGTAAGTACACGTGTGATGGTAGATAGAAAAGCAGCCCTGTTCTGTATGAAAAAAAGCTGTCAAGTTAGTACAAATTTCTGCCATGGCGAAGGGAACAGGAGGAGAAAGCTGTCACGGTCCTTCTCCCGTCACAAAACCCCAATTCTCCCGCACACAGGCTCTGGGCTAAGCAACACGTTTCCAAAGGTGGTACCTGCAACCCAATGCGCCCAACACATGAAAACAAAACCAAAATAAAGCTCTCACCCCCGAGGCTGGAGGGAACCCAGTCTCCACTCCAGCCCTGCAGCAGGATAGTGAGGAACCCTGTCCCTCCTGCCTCCCAGTGGGGATACACAGCCGTAGGATTCCTCTTGGTTCATTTTGTCATTAGAAGCCTTGCGTTTGCCCACACCACCGGCCTGCAGCGCAGTGGACTGGTCTCCATCCCCTCCCCAAAGCTGCTTTGTGTGGGGGCTCCCTGTCCCCATGGGGACACCGGTGGGTGCCACCACCACGCTCTTCCCGGAGACAAAAAGGGGACAGCACAAAGTGTATCAGACACAAGCCAGCACACCCCACTCCCTCCGATTCAATTACTAAAGTAGGCTCTTTAAAATAAAAAAATAATATATATATTTATATAGCTATACAGAGAGATACAGAGAAAGCAAAGGAGAGAGAAAGGCTACTAAATAAATCAAGAAGCGCCAGTTTTCTGCTACAGCTGTCAGCAAAGAACTGTCACCTTACATCATACCCTCCGAGATGGTGAAGAGAATGGAGGCAATGACAGCACAGGAATGCAAAAGAGGGCAGATAAGTCACTTCTGGTAATGAGACACAAATTAAACTTTCAAAACATGTGCATAGCTTTATTCATCTGCTTCAAACTAACCTTTTCACGGAGCTTCAGTGAAACCCGAGTGTGCAAAATGCATTTCTAAAAAATAATGCAAGCAAGCTTTCACATTTACTGTGGCAGAATTACAGAAAGACTCGGAGAGAATCATCACACGCTGGGGCAGGAGATGGAGAACCCAGAATTGCACAGCTTGGAGTTCTAAGTCACGGACTGCAAACACAAGCGTTTGGATTTCGTTAACTTCAAGCAAGGTGTGTTGACTTCTCCTTTACAAAAAAAATCTTGTAAACCCCACAGAAACAAGAACCACAACCTGGCAGAGAATAAATCCCCTGGATAATGGGATCATGGTGCCACAGAGAGCCTGAACTCCAGCAAAGCCGGTTCCAGACCTCGGAGTTTGAGTTTTGGCTCTGCAGGCAAACCATGGCAATGCCAATTTTTTGTCCGCAGAAGAGCGAAGCAGCTTTTCTTTCTCTCCCTCCCACTCCCTTCTGAAGTCACAGGTGCCATTGCACAGGACGTCATCCTCAAGCTGAGACAGCCACTACACAGCCTGGAGTTCATTTTCATCCGAAGGGTCACCAGGACACTGAGGAACCCTCGACTGTGGATGGGGAACGGCGCTCCCAGCCATGCCCCCAGCTCACACCCCACCACCTCTCTCCAGAAAGACTAAGCACACATGCAAGGCACATTGAGTCAGATGTACACACACCTTGGTGTGTAAAAGAGCAAACGCTGGCCGAAAAAGAAATAAATTGATGCTGAAAAAACTAAACAGGCAGAGAGCTCTGGCCTATGTATTTGTAGACTATTTTCCAGGCAGTTGTAATCCCCAAGTGTTTTTCCAACACGACTTTAGACCTTCCTTACTCTTCCCTCACTTTGCAGAGAGATACTTTATATTCCTAAAGGGTCTTCTATAAATAGTCAAGTAAAATCCCTTTTTCCCCTCCAGTAAACTCCTCCTCCAAGGTACACATCCCCCACCATGGTCCAGGCGTGACCCATAAAGAGAAGAGGTTCTGGACCTGCCCATGCCTCACGGCAGCACCTTGATGCAGTGAGACCTCCCTCCACTGCTCCCTAAGCCTTTTACTGGCAGGTTTGGGCTGGGTGGATGGCTTCACCTCCCTTTTTTCTTGGAAAAGATCTGAGCCCAAGCACTGAGCGCTCCCCAGGTGGAGAAGGAGCCGGTGGGTCCCCAGCACTGGGATAAGGGCAGGATGGAGGCCATGCAATCCTTAATACTGCTGGTTAGCTTCACATTGAGATAAAGCATTCCAAAGATCTTTTTGTAGAGATGACAATTTCCTTCTATAGATAAATTCATCTAGAAAACAAATATATTAAAACCAGAGACGAGACAAGAGCTGACTGAGGTTTTTCTACTTTACAGGTTACTCGGGCACCTTTCCTGCACCACCAGCCATGGAGGAAGGAGAAGTTGAAAACCTCAGGGATTTGCACTACCTTTCCAATAGCAGCTTGAGAAAAGGAAGGAGAGAAAAATAAAAATAAAAAATAAAAAAAAAGCACAGTGTTCTCTCAAGTTAAAGAGTTCTCCTTTGCTTGCGTTTGCATAGAAATTCCCAAAGGTCAGCACCAAAATCGGGTCCAACCCTGTCCTACACCCCAGCTCCCACAGTTCCTATGCTTCCCCAGTTAGTGGCTGTGTTACAGGAGGGTTCAACTATCTGCAGAGGAACTACATGATCATGTTAAAAAACCAAACCAACAAAAAACGAGAAACAAAAGTGCATCACACATTCTTGATTTTCAGGGTTACTTATAGCAGCAGCATCAGCATTAATCCAAGACAATGAACAGTTGTAGATTCATTCTTAAACGCAGCAACACTTAATGAAATGTCTTCGGGGAAGGGCATAAGAGGGTCCTTCTCAAAAGGATAAAAATGAAAATTAAGACTATTCAATATGGACAAAAAGGAGATAAAACAAAAATTAAAGACACAATCTTATTTACATTTAAAAAAAACCATTCTTGTTAAAACATCTTTACAACACCTAAGCAAAAAAAATACGTATTTTAAGAATAAAGCAGGAACTCCTAAAGCAGTATCCATTTTTGGAACCCTTATTTAGCACCTGAGGAAAGACCGTATGGAAAGCAGACAGGCTGGGGATTTTTTTGTTGGGTTGTTTTTTGTTTGTTTTTTTAAGAAAACTGTAAATTGTATTTTTGCTAAATGTTCAGAAGTTCGCAGTACACAAGTTTCATACCACAGAAAGAAATGAGCAATTCCTTTTTTTGTTTGTTTTCTTCTTTTTAAAGATCCTCTACTCATTAATAAGGCTGTAGAAAAGGAACACTGCAAAATGGCTTTAGAGCTCTGGACACGAAGCTTTCTGATTAACAGTCAAGATAAATCCAGCTCAGCATCCCCTGGTGAGGGAACAGGCAGGACTCTTGCTCCAGTCCCAGCACAGGCTAATGCCCAGGACATGAGGCCACCACAGGGCTCTCTGACCTCCCCAGACATCCCCAGCTTTGCTCTCCTGCTGCTTTAGAAGATCTCAGGTGGGAAAGAGGAGCCAGCCTGACCCTGGGGTGTAACATGCACTGGGAAAACCTTTCAAGCTCTGTAATACCTGGAAGGCAGCACATCAAGATCTTCCCACCAGCCCTGGTTCCTGCTTCCCAGCTGTGTGCACTAGGGGTTTCCCACATGGAAAAATGCTCTGGTGGTGGCCAAACCCAGAATTACTCTGGCTTTCTTGGCTACTCCACCATACCAGCCCTTCTCCTGCCTTACACACCAGTGTGAAAACGTGCAGCAGCTTTAAAGCGGGTGAATATTTGTTCTCCCCCCTCCCAACCTCAACCAGCTCCCTTGTAAACAGCCTCTGTAAAAAAACGTATCACGACAGATGGACGGACAGAAAAGTCTTCTAGGGATGAGAAAGTAAGATTCCTGAAAGCTTGGGACACCTTAGCAATTTACTGAATCAAGATCAAACCCTGGACACACAGGAGAAGTACCAGCAGTTGT